TTTCTTTTTTTAGCTTTCATCTTCATAACAATCCAGACGTGACCAGACAGTTAATGAAAGGGGAGGTGAGGAAATAGGCCAGAGCAGGAGAGGTGGGATAAAGGAGAATGTAGATACATGGGATGTGTTCGGGGTGAGCATTCTGGAGAGCTTGTATGGATGCTGGAGAGAACAGTAGAGGAAGAAACCTGGCCAGAAAAGGGGAGTGATGATCAAACCATCATTAGAGTGGTATCAGACCAAATCAGGGTGAATTTTAAATGCTTTATAAACACTAATATGAACAATTCACACCAAATATGCCTCATGTCCTCCTTTCACTGGGCTGATGGCCTGATGGAAAGGAGGAAGTGATGCTATGAGGTGTATAACACTTTGGGCTGCCCTGGGTCTCCAGAGGGGACTGCAGCCCTACTAGGTGATCTTGTTCAGGCTGGGAGCATCAGTGCAAAGCATTGTCCTCAGGAGACAAGCCATGTCCTCCCATTCCCCACGTCTCCACCACCCTCCCTTTCCTGGGCACGTTTCCATCCCCACAAATGTTCTGCAGACCCTCGATGGGTCTTTGATGCTGGCTATGTTTTCCAGGCACTTGGTTCCCTGAGCTGGGGCAGGGCAGAGCTTCCCAAACACTTGTGCCAGCACGAGGGGTGTGAAGGGCTGGGAATGAGCAGCTGGGGATGAGGGACCCGGCTTCCCTTCGACTCCAGGAGGCACAGACAGATTATGGCAGCTTAACACATCCATCAGGATCCATCCCCCCAGGGGACTGTCAGGCTGCAGGAGTGGTTCAAGGGAGGTTGTTGGGGCTCTCTCCTGGATTTCTGAATGGCGTTTGTGTGGTGTGGCTGAGTAACATCAGTGGGTTTGGGCTTTATGGGGTTGCAAGCGCTCAGGGTGCGAAATGCAGGTCTGGAGGAAACATCAGATGCATGAAAACTGCATGGGAGCAGGGGACCATCCAGAGCAGGTTCCTGTTATTCATTTGGAATAGATTTCACAGAATCCCAGCCTGGTTTGTGTTTGAAAGGACCTGAAAGCTCCTCCAGCTCCAACCCCTGCCACAGGCAGGGACACCTTCCACTAGAGCAGCTTGCTCCAAGCCCCTGTGTCCAACCTGGCCTTGAACACTGCCAGGGATGGGGCAGCCACAGCTTCTCTGGGCACCCTGTGCCAGCGCCTCAGAACCTTTTCTTGTGTGTCATCCCACAGAGCAGCCAGCACCAATGTTATCTTATGGATTCTGCTCCTGCCTCCACCCCCTGTTCTGGCAGACAGCATTGCTGCTTGGATTTGAGATCTCTGTGCCCCCCATCTGTACAGCACCTTGTGACACCGGCTCCTTTTCATTGCCACGGTGCCATCGGGACTGGGATATCCAGACATCTCTCTGTTCTGGTCCCTGGGCTCTGACACCAGGATCCTGTGTCTCCTCCTGCCCAGCAGCTCTGTCATCTGCCTGGTGTTCACCACCACGGTGCCACTTCTGATGAGCTCAGTGGAGTCCCGTGTGGGGTTCGGTGCCACCAGGCTTTGCAGGAGGGTTTTCAAAGCCCCAAAGCAGAGCTAGCCCAAGAAACCTGAGGACCTCCAGCTTTGCATTATTATCCTGCTGTGCATTTGAGCTCCTGTGGAGCTGGAATCAAACCTTTGATGGGGAAGAAAGGGAGGGCAAGACCTTGTCAGCAGCCCTGCAGGTGAGGCAGCTCCAACTGAGGTTAGTGCAGAAAACTCATGATGTTTAAAAGACTCGGGTGTGCTGCAGAGCAGTTGAGTGCTGGGGTCTCTGATCTGCAGCACTGCCCAGGCACACCTTGGGGATCAGGTCACCATCTCTGTACCAAGGCTGGACCGTATGAGAACAGCTTCCAACCGGTGCCACATCCCAGGGCGTGCCTCATCCAGCAAAACCAATGAAACCTGAGGTGTAAAAGCAGGCTCTTTCTGCTCACCTCCATGCCTCCAGTGCCCTCCTGGTGCTGCCATGGGCAGGCTGTGCCTGTCGAAGCTTCCCTGCGAAACAGCTCTTCATCTGATGCTTCTGATCTTGAGATCATTTGCACCATGAAAGATGAACTCAGGTGGTTTGGGACTTAGGGCAGCTCTGGGTGCCCCCATGAGATCGAAGTCCAGAGCCATGCCAGAGCTATTCATAAACCCCACCAGGAGAGCCCACCCAAGACGTGTGGGTCCAGCAAACACTGCATTGCTGTGACTGATGCACAAACTGACTGCCTGGGCTTTTGCCGTGTCCTCGCCCCACAGCCTGATTGCCATGGGAGGGGGGGCAGGGCCTGGCAAGGATGCTCAAGGTGGCTAGATTAGATATGTCTATGTGAGCTGGTCGTGGCAGGTGCCCTAGACAGTCCATGGAGAGAAGCAGGAGCTTTCAGTTGTTATGCCCTGGGAGTGCTTATCCCTCTCATCAGCTACAGTGGGAGTTTGGGATGGCCTGAGCCATGGGGATGTCTCCATGCAAGACATCTACCATGAAGCTGGGTAATGATACTTAAATGCACTGTTAGCAGACAAAATCCAAACCCCAGCTTGAACTGAACTAGGGGAAGGGAAGTTTGCTGCCCTGAAGCCCTTGGGAAGGGTTAGTTCACCTGCCTTGGGGCAGACCTATGAGCCTTCACCATTGTCTGCTGGAAATGCATGTTTTGAGCAGTTTAGGCAGTAAAAAAAAGTCAGAAAACTATTCCTGGGGAAAAGAATTGTGTGCTGCTGCTTTGCTTCTGTGTCCAGATGTGTGGGCCTGGAGAGCAGCTCTCAAAGCTGGGAACAGGCAAAGTCTGAAGGCTGGAAACAGACCCGTACCTCATCCTCCTGCTGCTGCATCCTCATTGCACAGCCAATGAATAAACCCATTTTAGCAGTGCCTAATGATTGTTGCTGCCACAGGGATATATGGACACTGAGTCATAGTTTGCTTCTTATTCAGGCTGCATCATCATTTGATCATGGAGAATGCTGTGCATAAATGTGTAAACTGTCCTGTTTGATTTCTTATACCTGCTATAACGATTTGCTCAACAAATGAGGCCTTAAAATGGAAACCTCCCTGGATACTTGCATTGAATTGACCTTCTCCAATCAGAAAGTGTTCCCTTTTTCTCTCATTCTCCCACATATCCAGGCTGCTGTGCTCCTGCACTGAGAGCTGGCAGCAAACTCACCATCTCCTTGCTTCACTGCCCCATGCAGTGAAACAGGAGCCACGCCAGCTTGGGAGCAAGCGTCTGAAGCACCAGGGATGGCAGGGAAGTGTGGAATAACCCTTCCCAGCAAAGCCTGTACACCCATTTCCTTAGTGGGCTCACGTCTATTCCTTTTGCAACCCAACTACGTGAGAACAGAGATAACTCAGTGCAAGAAAGGAACTCGACAAGTTTGCCTTGGTGGTGGAGCCTGATGCACACAGGGGAAGGGCCGGCACCAGGAAGGCTGCGCGGAGGCCGGGCAGGGGAACGGGTCAGCGCCGGGAGCGCCCCGGGGACCGCGCACTGGTGCAGTAAGCGCTCCCTCTCCTGGGCTGTGGCCACAGTGTCCCAGAGAGACCTCGGGCCAATCTGGAGGTGCCCCGGGTCGGAGAGGCTCCTGGAGCAGGGCAGCGCCTTTCCCTCGGCTTCAGACGGCCCCAGTTCCACATGGGAGCTGCTTCCCAACTCCAAAAAGCCCTGGACACTCAATGAAGATACCGTGTTTGAACATCCCCGTGCTCTCTGTGCCCACCAAGATACAGCATCATGCTCTCCCGGGGTAGAAGCTCATCTTGGGGGACCTCAGAACTGGGGAAAATGCTGGGAAGAGATTCAGCCATTCAAAATCACGTCAATAGAGAGCCCAATGTGATCTGCCATTAAGGCAGAAGCTCTTCCCTGTGAGAGTGCTGAGGCGCTGGCACAGGGTGCCCAGAGAAGCTGTGGCTGCCCCATCCCTGGCAGTGTTCAAGGCCAGGTTGGACACAGGGGCTTGGAGCAAGGTGCTCTAGTGGAAGGGGTCCCTGTCTGTGACAGGGGTTGGAGCTGGAGGAGCTTTAAGGTCCCTTCCAACACAAGCCAATCTGTGATTGTCTGATTTAGAGGGACCAGCAGTCACCAAGGTTGTTATGTACTGTGCTGGGAGCTTCTGAAGGCCAGCAGGGAAAGTGTGTTTCAACTTTCCATCAGCCTTCAATGCCAGGAGCTTCAAGAGCAGAGGAGATCTGAAAGAAAAACACAAATGAAGTTTCCTTCAAAGAGTAGAAAGGTGGGGGGTGTACCAAGGGGTGAAAAGAAAAGGGTTCTTCTAGGGAGCTGTGACTCAGAAATGGCATTTTCTATATTCTACTAAGAGATGTCAAGTCAGAGGTAATTTATCCACAGCAAGCTGATGCAGTTGCTATGGAGAGCATAATAGGAAGAAACACTTTTTAAATGCATAGTCTATAGAGGAAGGAAGAGTTTGTCAGATAAAACCTGGGTGTGAGGGTGAAATGCTGATGAGAAACATTAAAGAAAGCTGTCTGCAGGCATTTGCACCTGGCTGTGAATGCAGGGACTGATCCCACCTTGCTCGCCTTCCCTCCTGCTGGGCAGAGGACTGATCCCAGCTCTGCTCATGCAGAAGTGCAGGACATGGTCACTTCCCTGACACTCTGCTCACCTCCCAGCTCCACACAAGTATTGGGCATTGAGACACACTGAGACCTTCCTGGGCACTCATCCAGTGCATTCCCGTGCTCTGCCGGGCACCAGCAGCTCCTCCAGCCTGGGGGTGCACGGCTGGGCAGGATTTTTCCTGAGATGGAGCTGAGCCCCCTCACTCACGGGCAGGCACAAGCCCTGTTCCCAGTCAAGGCTTGTCCCTGCCCAGATCCCGAACCACTCCAGACCAGGGTTAATCCACCTGACCTGCTGGGATGGGAACAGCCCCATGATGACCTCAGGATGGACACAGGGGAAGTCACCTGTGGCTGGTGGGACCGTTTTGAACTTCAGCGATAAAAGCCAGGTGTATTCACTGCTTTACCTTGAGTCATTTGTCTCAAATGAAGCATCTCTCATATAACACATGGTCCTTTTCCTGGACCATACATCTTGCTGTTCAGTGCCAGACGGATTGGGCAGTCTTGCTCCAGCTCCTACTGGTTGACAATGAGCCAAGGGGTGACATTTGCCTGAAAACAATTGCCCTGATGTGTGTCAGGGCTGTAACGTGAAGACTTCTTCCCCTGCCAGAGAGCAGCAACCTTTCCTACAGGTATTCCAGGTTCAGTAGCTCACAGAAATGCTCCTGTAGGTAGAGCCAATGAGGGACCAGAGATTCACAGGAGCAAAACATCAGAGGGTGGAATCTCTTGTTGGAGCAGACCCAAAAGTCACCATTCTCTGTAGGTCTTCCTCCACCTGGCCCATGAATATCACCCCTTTGTACTGGGCAGCAGACCCTGTTCACACACCTTGTCCTGGGGAAAAAACAACCGACCAAGCAAGCAGCTGAATTTTAGCTCGTGGTAGAGCTCAGTCCCACAGGGAGCGAACCATGGGCAGTGATCCAGCATCCCTGCGTATGCGCCTCAGTTTCACTGTCCTTCCACCTGGTACTCTGGGAGAGAGGGAGCAAGCTCCTGCCCTGGTCCTGGGGGCAGTGGGGTGCGGATGTCGGGGGCCCTGCAATGCCTGCACAAGACAGCAGAGGCCACAGGACACAGGGGATGATGAACGACAGTGAGGAGAGGAAAGGACTCTGCCTTGGCTCAGCTTCCCAGAGGCCGGGCCCTGGGCAGAGTGGTTGGTTCTCGCTGCCGTGTCCAGGCAACCACATCAGCATCTTCCAACTGTGCCTGGCAACTACCACCGGCAGCTGGTGGGCATCACCACCTCGGGAACAACAGGGACGAGGCAGAGGCCAGAGGCATGCAGGGGCTCACCCCTTGCCCTGCTGCCTGCACACATGCTGCCAGGGCAGCTCTGACCTGGGAGAGGAGCGGTGCTGGGAGGACCTGGACCGGTGGCTGCAGCAATGGGCACCATGGACGATGAGGACCTGCTGGCCTATTTCTGCATGGAATACAGGTGGAACATCCTGCACCTGCGGAGGTGAGGGGGCTCCTCCACCTGCTCCCATCCCGTCCTCCTGTCTCCTCCAACCTCCTTCCCCTACCAGAGCAAACACATCCCTTGTCTCCACCACTTCAGTCTCCTCTCGTAGCTCCCTTCCCCAGCCCTGTTCCTCCCTGTAACAGCCCCTGGCTCGGTGTGTGGGATCCCTGCTGGGGATGGTGGGGGTGCCGTGCTGACAGCTGGGATCTAAACCAGTGCTGGGTTGCTGTGCCCAGTCACCCCACTCAGGACCTTGAGGGCAGAGCAACCCCGTGCCCTGCCAAGGCACCGGAGCAGCACATAACCTCGAGGAAACCTCGTGCGCAGGAAGCTGCAGCCGGAAGAGGAGGACTCCCTGTCCGTATTTATCCGCCTCCAGGAGAAGAGGAAAGCAGCCAAACTGATGGGAGAGGCTCTGGAGGCGAAGGAGGTGAGGAGGCTGGGGCATGGCTGGGAGGGTTTGCTGGAGGGCAGCAGAGGGCAGGGTCTGGCTGTGGGTGCGAGCAGCAGTCACGCTCGCTCTGTGCTGCCAGGAGTTCAAGGAGAGGGTGAAAGCCGTGGAGTGCTGCTGGCGGGACCTGCACGCCCAGGAGGCTGAGCTGAAAACACACACGGAGGAATCCCTGAGGATCGCAAAGGTCAGCACCGGCCTGAGCCACGCACCCCCTGGAGCCCGGAGCCGGCAGGAGCAGCGCTGGCAGTGAAAACCAGCCGGGGAGCTCCAGGCCCGGTCTCTCCCCGGGGAAGGTTTCTCCTCCCGGTGCTGCCGAGTGACCCGGCTCTGTCTTCCTATGGCTCCCTTTCCCTCTGTGTGTGTTGGTGGGGAAACACCACCAGGAATATGATAAGATGCGAGTCCAAGCTCTGAAGAAAGCCGCCAGAAAGAGGGAGAAGAAGGTACAAAAGGAGTTTGAGCTCTTGAGAGCTAAGAGGGAACTGGAAGTCTGGAGAAACAAGCATGAGAAACTCTACAACAAAGTGCAGAAATACTCCATCTTCAAAGGATACCTGGAGGATGTGGTGAAGAGCTCACAGGTGAGTTTGCACATGAGGGAGATTATGGCCTCCAGGAGGGCCCCGTGTGGGTGTTAAGCCCAGAGGAGACAAAGCAACTCCAGGGAAATCATAACACTTGTTCAAACCCAGAGACCTCAGATGGCATGAGACGTAGCTCTTTGCAACCAAGGTGAGCCAAGGGGACCAGAATTAGGGGAGGAGAATCAGAAGGGGGATGATTGCTTAAGAAAACTAAAGAAAATCTGTTAGAAAGGGGAAGAGCAAAGGGCTGAGGGGGATGGGGACCCCTTGGTGTCACTTTCATGTCACATTGATGGTCTGGGAGTAGGGAAAAGCTGCCTGGGAATGGGAACACAGGCAGTTGGCACAAAAGCTGTGCCTGGGCATCACTCCATGCATCACTCCTGCAGTCCCAGCTGCCCCCTCCCGTGTCCAGCTGACTCAGCAGCTGCAGTTGTGCTGTGTGTTCTCTGCTCCTTGGGGAAGAGGTGCAAGATCTCCCCTTGCTTCCAGCAGTGACAACTGTGGGACTGGCATCATACAATGAATGGGGCCATGCCCACAAAGCAACGGGGGCAATGGTCTTGCCAAGAAGGGAAGATCTTTTGGCGATGGGAGATGTTGTCCCTGGTCAGGGCAGGGAGCCGAGGCAGCACACGACGTGCAGTCACGACGATGGGAGGGCAGGGGGATCACTAACACCAGGAGCCCTGTGCTGCAGTTTGTGGACATCCAAGAAGTCATTTCGCCCTACGAGACGCTGCTGAGGGTACTCAGGGACCTGGAGCAGTTGCAAGAGAGGCATAAGGAAAAGTCCGAGCAAGCCAGGGTGTTCTTGGACCAGTACATAGCGGAGAAAGAAGCTGAGATCCTGCAGTACAAACACGAGCTGGTGGAGCTCCAGCAATGTTTTGACCAGGCTAAAGAAGACATCCAGTTCTGGGTGAGGAAATGAGGGGCGGGCAGGGGAAGATTCCCAAGGCATGGCTGTGTTAAGAGCAGGTGATGGCTCACCCCTAAGCCATGGGATCATGGAGAGCCTTTGTGATTGGAGATGTGTAATTTTGTCCTCCCAAGGGGTTGTAGGATGAAGAATGACAGAGCAGGTCTGGAGCAGGTTAGAGCAGGGGTTAAAACAAGGCCCACCTCACAAAGCTATCGTGATCTTTCACTCCTTGAGCTCACAGATCAGCCAACCAGGCTCTGGGGAGATCTGTCTTGGCACAAAACCCAAGCCTCCTCCGCCACATGCCCATTGGGTTTGTCTGGCCTGCTTGTAATCATTCCCATTCACCATTGCAGCATCCTCCCTGTCACTGGGCTTCAGTGTGGCACATCTCATGGTCCTCACTGCTCATGGCTCAGGGTGAAGCTGGCTTTGTTCATTTTTATTATCTGCTCATCAGGGCTTACCCCTTCTCCTCCCTCCTCACCAGTCCAGCAGTGACCAGACCGGTGCTGACCTGGGCTGTAGTGAGGCACATCAATGTGCAGCCAGTGCTTAGTGTACGGGAATGCCCCAGCTCTGTTGACCTCTGCTCCTTTTGCACTGCTCCGAGGGGGCCCAGTCAAATTCACTATTGGATACTGCAGGCTCCGGGAGCTGGGTCCCATCAGGCACAGCTGGAAAGCAGCCGGTCTGGAAGGCCAGCAGCAGGATGTGCTGCTCCCAGGTACCAGCCAGCCCTGCTGGGCAGTGAGGACCTGACCTGCCAGGGTGAGGACTGCAGGAGCTGGCACAGACAGGGGGAGGTTTCTGGAGTGGCTCCTGGATCTGCTTCCACCACGCCAAGCTGAACCACCACAGCCTTGGGCAAGGACAGGTTCTTGCTAGCAAAACAGATGAGTGCTGAAGTTAGGGTCTCCAAGCCAGGGTCTTCAGTGCTGAAGCAGCATCTTTGCTGGAGCATGTCCCCATGTTGCCTCTCTCCTCTCCTCTCAGGAGACTCGCTGGGCTGACATCCAGGAAACAAGTCCCAAGAAAGCCCTGGAGCTGGACACCATCAGGATGGCCATCCTCAACCTCTTCCAGAGTGCCAACAGACAGATGAACGCCAAACTAAACGTGCCAGTGGAAGTCAGCCATAGACAACTGAACAGGGTAGAGCCAAGCCCTTAACCCTAGGAGGAGCAGGAATAACTCTCAGCTGCCCAAAGGAAAGTGAGAGAAATCATCGTGCCCAACAGACACCTTCCTTTTCACTCTTGGGCATGGGGAATGGGCAGGGGACACCAGGCAAACCTGTCTCACCTGAGGAGGTCCCTGTGGGGCAGGAGGCAGGGCAGCCAGGCTGGGGCAGTGGATGAGGGGACGCAGATCAATCCATGGCCAAGGTTTGGTTTTACTCACCCTTGCCCTGAACTCAGAGTCGCCCACAAAAGCCCATTCTGGTGGTGCAGGGCCAACAAGCTCCCCTCCGCCTCCTGTTCCCATCCCTGCTCTGAGCTCTGCCATCTCCTTTCCCCACCCTAGATTCAGCAGCGTATCCAAGACCTTGCAGACATCTCCACAGAGGGCAAAGAGGACATACAGAACCGCCAGTGAGCAGCTGTACCTACAGGACATGGCAACGTGAGTGGCTCAGCAAGGGTGGGAAGAGCAGGACAGAGTGCCCGACATAGATGTCGCTTCCACCAGTGAAGTTTCATCCCTTCTGACTCTTGTGTCCTGTACAGTTGCTGGCATCTGTTATTCTATTAAAAAGAACCAAGTACCTGAAGGTGACTCCTAATTTCCTGAGAGGACGGGAATCATCAGAGCAGCTCCATCCCACAGCTTCATCCCAGATGCCACTAGGATGCCTTCTCTGGCAGATCTGGCTCATGCAAAGCACACAAGATAGGGAGAGCAGGCTGGGACAGGAATATAGTCTCAAATAGGGAGGAGTACTACTGCTCACATCTGGACATCCTACAGCTCTGAGATACCTGGAGGGATGACACAATGGGGTGGGGGGACTACAGCCAGCACACCCGTGGATGTGGATTTCTCCGCGCAGCCACGTGCTACATAATAAAATTCAGCTTCCCCCTCAAATGGAGCTCAGGAAGGCACAGATTAACCCCCTCCCTTCCCCAGACCTCTGCTTTCATGAGCGACAAGGAGAACGGGTGCCCCCCAGAGCTGGTGCTGGCTGCATATTTGGAACGCAGAGGAAGGATGGGTTTGGGGAGGGAACACTTGCTGCAGTCTCAGCAGAGGATGCTCCTTCTGTGGCTTTGCTGTTGCTATCTGCAAGCTTGAATTTGTAGGAATAAACACAGAAACACAGCACCTTAAGTCAGGTGTCAGCAAGGACTCATCCAGGAAATCCAATTCCCCTCCAGTCTCTGAGCTCAGACCCATGTTGGGCCATTGAAGCTTAGTGAGTTACCATCCATCAGCAGAAAATGACCCTGGCAGTGTCCTCGCTGTGATGCCACTGCAGAAGGAAACACAAGGAAAGCCCCCATTGCAGAGGGAAGGGCAGTAACTGCTTCCCAGCTGTTATATGTGGAAGAAGAGCCCATTTCTTTCTGAAACCTTGACATGCAAATGCAGTGGAGGCCACGATGTGTCCTGTGTAGATCTGAACAGATCCCCAGAGCAGTGGGAGGTGAGTGGCATCTCAGCTGGCAAGGAAAAGTAAATGCTGCAGCCACCATGTGCCTACACTTCAGTGATTCTAGTATGTTCATTCTATGAAGCAGGGATCATTGTCAGGGAGGAGCAGGGGTGGGAAGGAGTTCAGGTGGCAGCAAAAGAGGCGGGAGGATGCCCTCACTGAGAGGACACAGCCCAGCGGTGTGAGAGCAAGAGCAGAAAGGTCCATGGCTGTGCCCAGTGATGCCCATGCCAGTCTGCAGTGATGAAGCAGCTCTAAGGTGAAGCCAGAAAGTCAAGTCAGGAAGGTAAAGAGAATTGGCCAGGTACAAGGCTGGGCACAGGCTTACCTAAAAGGCAAGGACCAAGGATCTGAGCGTAAATACAGCTCTGAAGCAAAGCAGGGGAAGCTCCAGGGAAGGCTCCACACAGCTCCTCATGTCTTGCCTGTTTTCCCAGTGTCAGTAGCTGCCCACTTGAGGGCTGGCCCTGAGCACAGGCAGCCAGACCATGGTGAGTAGGAAAGGGGTCACAGAGCCTGCAGGTGCACTGAGACCTCCTTGCATTGGGCTGCACCCCCAGAGCATGAGCAGCAGCTCAGGGAGGGGATCCTGCCCCTCTGCTGTGCTCTGGGGACACCCCCCTGCAGCCCTGATCCAGCTCTGGGGCAGCAGCACAAGAGGGACGTGGAGCTGTTGGAGCGAGTCCAGAGGAGGCCATGGAGCTGCTGCGAGGGCTGGAGCAGCTCTGCTCTGGAGCCAGGCTGAGAGAGCTGGGCTGGGTCAGCCTGGAGAAGAGAAGGCTCCTGAAGGGGAGACCTGAGAGCAGCTCCAGTGCCTGAAGGGGCTGCAGGAAAGCTGGAGAGGGGCTTGGGACAAGGGATGTAGGGACAGGCCAAGGGGAATGGCTTTAACCTGCCAGAGGGGAGACTGAGATGAGCTCTTAGGCAGAAGCTCTTCCCTGTGAGGGTGCTGAGGCGCTGGCACAGGGTGCCCAGAGAAGCTGTGGCTGCCCCATCCCTGGCAGTGTTCAAGGGCAGGTTGGACACAGGGCTTGGAGCAAGCTGCTCTAGTGGAAGGGGTCCCTGCCCATGACAGGGGTTGGAGCTGGAGGAGCTTTAAGGTCCTGTCACCCCAAACCAGCCTGAGGTTCTATGATTCTATAAATGGAATGCTTTCTCTTGCTCTCTTTGTAGCCCCCCACATGGGGGCTATGGATCTGCAGTGATTCCTTGTATGAGAAGACCTTCCCCTAATTCCCAAGGGCATACCCTTCCTGCTGCCATGCCTGGGCCTCCTTCCCCAGCAATGAGACACCTCCAGCCTGGCTGCGCTCTCACCGTGGCAATGAGAGGCACGCGCTGAGAGCACTTCAGGACAGGGAAAATCCATTTCTCAATGGGAAACAAATATATTCATTTGTCTTTGCATGGAGTGATCCATGCTCAGCCTGGGACCAGGCCTCGGGAGCAGCCTGTCACCTCCTTGGAGACAGCAGCTCTCTGTGCCAGGGCTGGATCTTGGAGCCTTCACCCCATAGGCAGCAGCATCCTTGGGCACCGGCCCTTCTCTTGCTCTTCTGGGAGGCCAAATACACAGCAGCAGAAGAGAGGAAAAGCACAAGGAGAGAGCGATCCCCTCGGGGATCCCAGGGGTTGCTGAGTGCCTCACAGGGGCTCTGGTGATGGCACCAGGAGCTGCTGCCTGCACTGGGAAAGCCAGCCCATGACTCATGTGAGCCGAGGATGCGCGTTTGTGGCCTTGTGAATCTCAGCAGTGATGTGTCCGAAGGGACCCGCAGCATTTCCACCCATCGGAGAGGTGACTCAGCTGTCCCCTCTCCTTCCGCCCACTGCCACGGCTCGCCACATCGCCTCGATGCATCTCACTGGGGGCAGCAGGCGGAGCTGGGGCGAGCTAATGGGAGAGGAGGAAGCGGGGCTGCAGCTCTGAGCCTGCCGCTCGGCAAGTGATGGACAAGGCTGTCTGCAGGCTGAGCTTATGCAGAGGACAGACGATGGGGCAGGTTCCTGAAGCCCTTTGAGCCAGGTCAGAGAATTCAGAACCTTCAGCATGGGACAGAAAGGAAACAAGAGGCCTTGGTCCAACCAGGAGCTTTCTGACCTGTTTCAATCTATTTTCTGCCTTTCATTGAGCAGACTGGGCTTGGCTGTGTCTGTCAGCCAGTACATCACACTCAGCATGTCCCTTACAACTGAACTCAAAGGGCAAGCTGATGACCTGTGCTCCTGTCTGGTCCTGATGCCATGCTCAGCCCCAGCAGCCCTCACCATCCTGAACGTGAAGCTGCAGGACATGTGGATGCTGCTCTGCAGTATCATTTGCTGGAGCTGCTCAGTTCTGTGGCACTATCCATGCCCCACATACTGAAATACCTCGTTTTAGAAAGTCAGAGACCAGCAATTGATGCTTGGGGGCAGATTTTGCCTTTTCTTATGTGCCATTTATGCCACACTAGCAGAGCAAAGAGCAGATCCCACCAATGCCCAATGTACTTTTTTGGACAAAGCGAAACCACTGTGACTGATGATGCCATGGGAATATGGAAGGAAAGACTAAAATGACCTATTTAGGTATTAGGGTTTCAGTTCTATGATGCTTTGTGTAATGAACAAGCTTTTTGTGTTCATAACCTGCCTTCTCCCTGGGGAATTGCTGGGCTTGGATTTGTTTGCATTGTGCTTTTCGGGTTGGGGTGGGTTTTTCTGTAAGATTTCTTTCTCTTGGCACAGAGAAGAGATGATTAAAGCATTGGCTAAATGCACAGTCTGCTTTGCCTCTTGCTGATGGCAAATTCCCAGCACATGGAGATGTTATTGGTTTCATGTGGACTCTGTCAACGTTTCCTCTGGAGCAGCCTGCGATTCCACCCGCGTGGGCATGAGCAGGCACCGCTGGTCCCCCCCACTGCTCCCTGCTCTGCAGGGCAGCTCTGCCCCAGCACCTGGGGGGGTTCCCACTTCAGGGGCTTGTGCCCCGAGTGGCCCCATGCAGAGAGGCCACTGCACAGCCCCAGTGACAGGAACATGCTCTGACACAGAGCACGCTTGTACGGGAAGGTCCCTTAGGATGCTTTCCCTTGGAGACGTGCTACCTCGCCTCTGGGGCACTCTGCAAGGGAGCGTGGGGACAGCCCTGTGCTAGCACTGACCAATGTCCTCAGCAGTGACTTCAGAAGTCACTTCAGACATTGCTGGTTTGTTATCCCCACAATTAGCACTTATCCAGGACATATCCAGAACATGGAATGCCAAGCACCACTGGGTGCCAGATGGCAAAGACATGGAAGTCATTAAACCCAAATTAGAGCCCATGCAGTTTGCAGCCGCCTGATCCAAGAGAAGATGTGGGTGCCAGAGCTTCCTGCTCCCCTCTCAGCAGTCACTGGCATAAGAGCACATCGTACCTGTGGGGGAATGCAAGCTTCCCTGGTCCTGCACGACTGACAAGACCCAGCAAAGCCCAGACTCCGTCCTGCCCCTCTGCTCCTCCTCAGCCCATCTCCCACCTCCTTGTCTTCCCCGGCACGTCCACCATGAGGTGTTCTTTAGTCACCACCAAAGGCCCTGCAGTGTGCAGGCCTACCTGCCCTGCTCCGGAGCTCCTGGAGGGTGGGATACAGGAGGCAGACCAAGAGAAGAGGTGGTGCAGCCAGACACCCTTCAGTGCTCCATTAAGCAAAGTGCTCACAACCCGTCTATAAATGGTACCATTGAGGCTTGGTGAGGACAGAAGGCTGTTCTCAGTGAACCAGTGTATCAGTATACTGACAAATAAAGGATACAAACCCAGGGAGGCTGTTTTTTACCTTTCCAAAGATTTTTCAGCCTGGCCCAGAAGTGAAATGTTAGGTAAAGAACCAGAGATGGAGGGTTGGGAATCCTGCTGCAGCAGCAGGAGCTGCTCTGTACCACTGCAATACCAGGGAGCTCCAAAGTCAACCTGACTTTAGGATCTTGCTTCTGTTCCACTTCAACCACCCTGGTGTGACACAGCCTCTGCAGAGGTCCCAGGCAGGGAAAATACCTCCAAACCAAGCTTCCAACAGACATTTATTTGGGTTGAAATCATTGCACATGAAACAGTGTCGCTCCCGTGCGCTGCACACCTTTGCCATGGGTTAAAGTACAGGCCAAATAGTATTGTACGACCAGGACAGAAGCCTCCTTCTCCATGACCAGCCACACAAACACAGAACAAACCAGGCGAGGACCTTGCCCATGTGCCCCAAGCCATCCTCCTGCCTGGCCAAGCACTGCTCAGCTGAAGTCTGGGTCTTGGGGTCTTGTGGGTTGGAGGTAGGGATGAATTAGAGGAGCAAGCTCTGAATCATGGGCTCTTCTTCTTTAGCTCCCTCTTGGTCCAACCAACCAAACTGTTCTAGCTGCCCACCCTTCCTGGGGAAGGCAAGGACAGTGAGGGGAGGGCTTCTAGGTCTGGAGCCTTTGTTCTGTGTGGATCCAAGCAAACACATGGCACCACACACATGACTGTAGAGTGACCAAGCAAAGCAATCTACTGGACAGTTGTGTAAGAGCAGGGAGTGAGTGGCCTCATCTGTCCCACGACCTATAGGATGGATGCTACCAGTGATGTCCTAGCATCCCTGGCTGGACAACAGCCCCATGTACTGCACCTCACTTGATTACACAGGGCTGGCAAAGCAGAGGGGAGTTCCCTGTGGCTTAATTTGCCCCTGTGATGTACAGAAGGCTCGCGAAGCCTCCCCCAAGCAAGGAGAGCACCAGGAACTGTCAGGTGGTGGTCGCAGGATGCTGTAGGACATTAACAATGAGCAGCACAAAGTCAGCAGGCTCAGACTGAGAACACTGAAGTGACTCAGAGGTGACACAAGCCAAAGTGGGGTCAAGTTTGCTGGAGGTGACCAGGTGTTGTGTTGGCCCATTTGGACCTCGCAGCCTGGTGTGTATGCAATAGACCAGAGGGACAATATGTGCGGAAGGACTGGTTTAGTTTGTGGACTATTCTGGCTGCTGCTGAGCCATATGAGGAGGAGATTGCTCAAGACAGACAAGGGAGTGGAACCCCCCCTGCGCAGGCTGGAGAACAGGTTCCCACACACTGGGTTTCCTGGCAGCGCTGATGAAGACATTCAGGAGGGACTTGGACCTGCTCATGGCACTGCACTAGGAAGGATCCCACCTGCATTGTGTTTTAGAAGGACAAATGTGCTATCAGGTGAAAGGGAAAGGGCCAAATAGGTTGTGGCCATCTCACTGGCATGGACACGATGGGCAGTGTTGAGCACCATCTCAACACCCTACAGCAAGTTGCAGAAAGACTGAGCTGGAGCCTTTTGGCCAGACGGCATCCAGAGCTCTTGGGCAGCCACCCAAATAGGAGCCCACCCCAGAACACCCAGTGAAGCCATAGCAGCCTATGGAGCAGAAGGGCGGGCAGGGGGAGAGGTGTGAGAGACCTTCACACTCAGGGAGAAGGAGAGCCCCTGTCCTGCCACAATGGGCATCAGCAGCTCTGGCTGTGCCACCTCAACACAGGGGATGCTCAGAAGGGACAATGGGAACTGAGACACTGGGTGGCTTCAGGGTGCCATGAGGCTTTGGCACAGGGCTTTACGTCCAGCTCCTGGTCCCAAGCCCAGAGGCGCTGGCTGGGGCACTGGAGGGCAGGACTGAATGCCCTCTTGGCAGTGAAGGTGTCTCCCCACCTTCCCCTGGCACGTTTCCAGGCTCCTCTTTGGTTTTCCTTTCCTCCTGCCCTGTTCTGTATTTATCTCCCTTTCTCTTTTGCTCTGATTTCCTCCTTTTTCTTATAGCTGAAAACTGAATCCATCTTAGCGAGGTGGGGAAAGCAACTCATCTGCCCAGAGCTCAACACACCAGGTCTGTGCTCAGGTGAGAACACAAGAATTAGCCCTTCATTCAGCCAGCTCTGGGGAACGTCCCTCACGCTTTGCTCAGCTCTACCCAGAGCCATAGAGCACCTTGCAATAAAACTGATGCAAACACAACAAAACCCAGACCAGAGACATTCCCCACCAAGAGTCCTCAGGAATCACCCGTAGACTCACAAGATGGCACAAGGCCGAGGATGAGACATCATCTGTGGCCACAGCGTGTCTTGGATGGCGGAGCACGATGTTCTCCAACACTTTATCACTGTCCATATGCAGGACTGTACTGGTCCTCTTTCTCATGGCCTCGCTTGCTGCTGCTGCACACACCTCTCCCAAGCTGAGCTCGGGTGGAATTCGGCGTTTGTGTGAAGTCATGGAGGAGACAACCACTGACATGGCACCAAGGACACATGCCATCATTCAAGCTTGCACCAGCCTGCTTGGGAAGTCTCTTCGGTGGTGGTGCTGCAGTGGGAAGCATGAACAATGACGAAGTTGAAACCCTCAGCAGGTTGTGGACTCTGGCTGGAGACCTGGGGAGGAAAAGAGAGGTAGCAAACCATGGGCTGCAAGCATGGGATCCCCCTGGTGCCTCCCTTCTCTAGAGGCTAGGGACACAACCCTGCTTTATAGAGCACCTAATGCCAATGAGACCAACTCTGGGGTGTCAGGCCAGCTCTAGGAGTCTCCAGCGATATGAAGGATGAGATGCATCCTCCCACAGTGAGTACAACCCACTGGACCCCTTTCCCATCATCTTCCTCTTACACAGTGCTTGTCACAGTCAGGACCTGTCACTCAGCTTGGTCATGATCATCACCCACTGGGTGAGGCCCAGGCTTGGAGGAAGGTGGGAGCTCTCCAGCTGCCCTGCGATGAGCTCTAAGGTCTGGACTCACATTTATGGTGCTGTAATTTCACTTCACCCATGTTACAGTTGGGACATGATGGCAGCCCCTCCGGGGGGTGGTCCCTCATGGCACGTGTGTGGGTCACCATCCCCGCGCAGGCACGTGGCCATGTCAGCACTCCAAGGAAGCCCCTCTTGCCCAGCCCAGCTTCCCAGGATGTGTACACTACCATGGTCCTGTCCTGTGCAGAGGGGCTGGGGGTGGCCTACATGATGGAGCAGGTGAAGCCACAGCACTCCTTGAGCAGGGTGAGGCCCGTCTTGGTCACATACGGTGCAGAGGTTTGCTGCCCCCGGGAAGTCATCTTCTTCTCTTTGGCAGGAGCTGTGGAAAGAGGAATCAATGTGTGCCTGATGGTAAGGGCACAGGCCCATCACTGCTTCCTAGAGCTCTTTCCAAGGCTAAGATGCTGACCCTCCTCAGCCCCACAGCTGGACATGAGCTCCTGCATCCAGGAAGCACATCACCATCCATGCTTCATAGGTATCCACAGGTGGGACACAGTCACAGGGACCCTGGACTGGAAAAGCCGCCCACCATGCTGGGAAGGTGTTCCTGCAGCGATGATGAAGGCACAGGGAAGAGGGTGGTCTGCCATCAGAGGCCATGAAGAGGGTAGGGCTGGATGGATACCACAGTTTGCAACCTTAGGCAATGGTGTGATGAAATGTAAGGAGCTTTTTGGAAAGTCAGATGAAGTGTATCAGCCAGAAAAGAACCTATTCCCATTCTCATAGGATGTGATGGCTGGGAAATGCCAGGAGGGAAATGGAAGCATAACCTCTGAACTGATTCAGGATGTTGCCATAATGGGACCTCAGGCACCAGCATCCCCCAGATGCCACTTCCCCACACCCTCCTCTAGCAACAGATGGCGTCCAGGTAAGCTGGCCCCATGAAGAGCAATGAAATCTTGGAGCCAGAGTGCTTAGGGAAGGGGAGAGACTGTCAGGGAGGTTCATTGGAAGGAATAAAACTCATCAACCACCTACTTGTTTTCTGGAGGTAGCTTTTGGAGAGCTTACTTTGCAAGAACTCTGCCATTTCCTTGTCTTCTTCCCTTTCCCTGTCACAAAGAGATTGGTTACCACTCAGGAAGAGCCAGCAAGGCACGAGGAGCATGGCACGGTGCAGAGCAGAGGACAGACTGCACTGTCCTCAGCGCAAAGGAATCAGCATCCTCAGCATCCAGCTACCTGAGCCTCTCAAACTCCACATCATCCACCAGGAAATCCCGTGTTTCCACCAGCTTGTGTATCTGCTGCACCAGCTCCTCTTCCTTCTGCCTCTCCTCGTTGGACTTCTCATTCTCTGCAGCACAGGGAACACATTTAACACACATACAGGGGCCATCCCACCCATGCCAAGGCAATGCTTGTTCTGCTCCTGCTTAACCCCGGAACAGATACGAGTGTGGGGGTAAAAGCCAACCCAAGGTAAGCACCTGGATGCAGATATAAGCTGCTAAATAAGCAGCCACCTCATCCCAAACGCCCTGGCTGGGAGGGGTCAGGGTCGGTGCCATCACTCTGGGAAGTTTTAGCTTCTCCCGTGAATTTTCACTGCATGCAGGACGCAGCTGAGCTCTGCAGAGGAGCCCCTCAACGCGTGCTCCACAACCACAGCTCCCCTGGGGCCTTCACCCTGTGCTGCAGGAGAGGCCGTGTACCAGTGTGAAGGAGCTCAGCAATGCCAGACTCGGATGTCACCCTTCACCCTGGATGTGCTCACCCCACGCTTCCCATGCCAGCACAACCCTTCGCCCTGAGCTGGGTCTGGATCCAGAGATCTCTGAGCCACATCTTCCATGTGGCTGAGAACCCAGCCAGGGCCTCAGGTCTATAGGGAATTAGCAACAATGCCGATGCTTCACGAACAACGCATCCCACCACTTAGCCCACACCTACAGAAACACGAAAACCAGTATGATCCACAGGCTTTGAGCCTTATTCCCTTAGCTAAACATGGTCCCAGTGAGCTCATCCTCTACATCTGACGTTCCAAACCACTGTCAGCTCCATTCCCACCCCAAGGCTGACCGCAGGTGCCTGCCTGGCTATTTTGAATGAGCCTTGGTTGTCACTTGAACCCTCAGACTGACCTACCTTGAGCACGGTGGGACTCACTTGTGCCACATACGTCTGGGCAGTGAGTTAGTGAGGACCTGGAAAACTCTCACCTCGCTATGAAGTCATGTCCTATATAAATTGGTACATAATGGTAAAATGGCATATGTGAAGATGATAGAGATAGGGCTAAGGAGTGTTAAATACAAATAGAAAGCTACCTAAGGTGGAAACTATAACCATCTGTGCTGCAGCTATTTAATGCCATTTCTGAATTCAGCAGCTGGCTCCAAAATCAATCCAGCACAGAATGGATCCATCTCCAGTCTTCCTTCAGCTAAATAATAATGGAGAAATACACAGTGTGGAGCAAACTCTGTAGGTTGGGTCTCAGCAGTTACCTAAATTATGTATTGACTTGTAGTTTAAAGTCTGTTATGTATTGATCAGAGGTGCTGCTGCAGGTCTCTGAGTAGGGGGAACTTCTCATCATCACGTTGTTAGGAACATCCCCAGCAAACAAAGGTTCTCCTACAATCGTCTTGTGCAGGGAGTGAGCTCGAGCCTCCAGGCAGAGAGATCTGGGCTGATGATCTTCTACCATGAAGAGTTAACCCGGAGTCTCCTGACTATGGGCACTGCCTCTGCTCCACCTGCCTGGCAGGAATAGGAGCACTTCACAGTGTCGTTTGGATGCCACACTAATCAGCAACTTGGGGTGCACACAAACACACCAGCTCCTTGGGGTTCATTAACAATCTGCAGCCCTGCGTTAGAGCATGTCAGCATTCACATACCCACTGCATAAACAGCACACTTCTTTTCCTGACTTGCTGATGTCAGAGCCCATCGTGACCATGGTATCGCTCTGAATCAGGAAAGGCACCTTGGTCTGGTGAGGTTTCAAGCCACAGGTCTGGCTGAGCTCTGAGTAAGCTCTGACGTGTTTCAGTCTTTATCTGAACCAAGGTTCAGTGCCCACTGTTACAGATGATCTGCTGCCACAGTCCCACCAGACCAGTGATGTGCAGGATCTTTCTAGCACAGTCTAAGTTGTAAAGAAGACAAAAAGAGCATCCCTGATGCAAGCAGCGTTTCTGCTCTCATCTGAACCTGGGAGTGCTAAAAAAGGATAGAAATAAAAGACAGAAGCAGATGAGGGGAAGCCAGCCACATTTCTGCAGCTTCAGAAAAGGCCAAGTTTATCTCTGGTCCTGAGCCAGCATTTGTCAAGTCTTGTCTTATGAACTAGAAGGTCTTTGATTAAAAGCTCACAGATTCGGGTCTACACTTTGCAAGCAGCTCCAATTTTTATGGCAGACTGCTCTCCTCCCCTGTCTAAACCTCCCTCTGGATGCAGTCAGGTTGTAGTAAATGAATCAAGACGTGCATATTAAGCAGCAGTTGGACTCTAAATGCATGCTGAAGACTCACAAGCACACACATCATAGCGGCACTATGGCATTAGAAAGAGTCAAGGTTTCTTGCCACTCTTGGCTTCAGGATAACCTTGGGTATAGAACCTATGAACTGAGCTGCTGCTCTGGGGAACAGATGTGCACAGCTGGTCCCTTGTCTGCATCCAGGCATCGCCCCCTGCTACACACTCACTGGTCTCCGTGAGTGCAGCATCTTCAGAGAGAGGCTTGTGGTGGAGATAACTGAGGGCCAAATGTTAATGCTTGGATAGGTACAAATAAGCAGGGATATGTCTCCCACCTGGTTCTGAAAATGAACCTAAAGTCCTTACTGGGGGATGAATGAGGATGCCCTAGGAGGAGGCATAGCTGATGGACACAGCTTGGAGGGAAGCCTTTCCTGTTCCTCCTCATTCAAACCCTGAGCTCTTCGGATGTGCTTTCCTCTGAATACTTTGAGTGGGATCCTTTAGAAAAATGAGGTTTGACCTTTCCTGGGCTGTGAAGGGACAAGGGTTGCTCTGACAGGAGCATGGAGGTCACTGGTCACGATAAAGGGGGTGACAAAAGCAGCATTTCCTCTCAGCTGAAGTTTTCATCCAGGTTGCCCTGGATTGTTTGCCTCTTTTCAATGTCAATGATTTCACCTAAATCAGGGACATCATCATGCCCTTGAGGTGTGACATGTCCCTAGCACCCATCCTACTGTTGCACCCAGGAATCCTTCCCTGCCCCATCACTGACTCGCAGTTCTGACGTGGCCACAGCAAGAATCCATGGCTTTTCATGTACTTCAGGCCTCTGAAGGCATCTCCTCCTGCTACCTCCAGAGAGGACTCTCCATGGTGTGCTCTGACAATGACTCCTGATCTTAACCCTCCTCAGTGCACACAACAGGTCCCACTGTGCCAGCATTCACTGCACCTCCCTCGCCTCCTGTCCTCCTCCTGGACCAGACCAATGCTCTCCCTCAAGGGACTCATGGTTTTTCTCCTTTCTTGTTTCAGACACCCATGTTCCTTGAGGCTCACACCCTGCCCGCAGCAGCAGCGCCTCCGGAGCACCCTGGGGTGGGAGCCCTTCAAGAGCTTCTTGTGTTTGATGGAAACACTTCTGCTGAGAGCAGCGGCAGGGTGCAGCTCTCCGGAGCCTTACGGAGCCGTACCTGGAAGCGCGATGAGCTGTTGGAGCTCCTGTTTCAGCCGGCTGATTTCCTTACAAAGCTGAATGTCATCCATCCTGCAGAGACACAAAGGGAACCATTGAGAGAGGAAAGGGTCAGAAGCTCCAGAGGAGCACCCAACCAGCACTGGAAGGCAGTGAAGCGGGGAGCACAGATTTACCTGCCTTCCCATGGGAAATGGAACGTCATCTCAGAGCCGTTGGTAGAGCTACATGGGTTGTGCCACTGGCTGCTGGCAAAGAAAAGGTTTCATTGCTCTGATGAAACCTGGCACATCCACAACGCAACAGGAGCTGGGTTTCTCCTCCTAAACAATTATCCCCAAACAGCAAAACACAAAAGCAAAGAGGAGCTGCTGCCACAGTAAAGATGTGTCGTTTTCATGCTGCCTTACTGCAGAACCAGAAAAAGGCAGAAAAAGGAACCACAGGAGAGGAGGGAATGGTGCGAATGCTGCAGCATCCACTGGGAAACAAGGTCATGTCAACAGCAGAAAGGAGCCTGCTGGGGCTGCGGGCACTGAAACCACCTCCAGCTCAAACCACACACAGCAGCGAGACACTGGTCAAGATGGGCTCAGTGCAAATGTCAGCACAAACCAAGGGCTGCCCAGCCCCACCTGCCCTTCCAGCAGTCTCTGAGGTCACATCAGCCTGGGGCCAACCTTGGCCATCCACATCTCCCACCAAAGCATGACAACCTGATGCTTTTCCTTCTGCTCTGAGCCCTCCCAGGGCTCCTCACACACTATCCCTCTCTGGGATGATTAGGAAAAGCTGCTGCTGTGATAACGGACTTATGAGCTGATGCCACCTAGAACAGATGTGCCTCTGCTGCCTTTTGAAGTACATGTTAGTAAAAGCCCTGTCTGCGTCTTCAATAATCCTGCTGGTCCTTCCACTGAGTCACAGCATCCACCCCTTCTGGGATGAGTCATTTGCTGGAGCTACTTGAAGCTGCAGCGTTACCAGCTGAGCAGAGGACACCAGAGGTATCAATAAGGGAAGGGAAAATAGAGAGACTTTAGGTCCCTAAAGAGGGACCCTGTGAGATATTGCTCAGGCAGGGGAGACTTCTTCTTAGCTCTGTCAGATTTCTGCTCCATCTGACAACGTCTTCCTTTGTTTGCCTACCACATCTAGCCAATGTCTGTGAGCTGCACGTGGAGAAGGAGAGGTGTTTGGCCTTTTATTGCCTGCTCATAGTCCCATGGTGGCCAAGCCCTGAGCTTGTACAAGGAGCACCAAGCAGGTCTGCACAGGACACATGGGCAACAGGCTGATTGCTGGTGATACTAAAATCAAAATCAAATGGCAACTGAAATATTAACATTAAATTGGAATTTAATGCTGTGAAAAGTGATCATGAGAATAATAAATGGGCAATCATGAGCACTCAGTTCAATAAAGCTGCAAAGACCAGCACCCGGGAGGCTGCTGCTGGAGCTGAGATTCCTTCTGCCACTGGGGATAAAACTCACTGCAGGCTCAGCCATAGCCACGGCAGCCCTGCACGTCCCAGGGAGCTGATCAGAGCACTGAGCAGGTGAGGTGTGGAGCTGAGTCTGCCACAGGAATCAGACCCTTCTTTTTGCCCTATAAAAGGGGAACTACCTGGAGCTTTGTTGTTTCCCAGAGCACAGACATCCCAGAAACTGGAAAGCTTTAGTCTGTTTCCATCAAAACAGATCCTGATCATGATTTGACCAGATGGATCACTCCTCAGCAACCAGAGGGGACGTCCATCTCCCCACAGTCCAGACACCCCAAACAATATCTTCCCGTTGGATAAAAATAAAGCCCTCACTGCCCCAGCTCCCATCCTTTTAATCCCTGTCCTGCAGAGCCAGGTCTGGGACCTCTCTCCTCCAGCAGTGATGCCCAGGGAAGCCCTCAGCCCTCCCCACACTCCTCCCCACTGCTGTGATCTGCAGAGCCAACCCAGACGTCATCCAGGCATTCCCAGACTTCCCAGTGATCTCTTCCTGCATGCCCACCCCCGTGTGTGGTCGCTGTGGGCGATTTCCTCTTGTTTTCCAGGGGCTGGCCAAGAAAGAAAACAAAGGGATAGGAAAAGTGGGGGATGTAGAGGTGTGACAGCACCTGTGGGGTTTAGGCACCGATTGCATTGGAAAGCATTTGAGGATAACACTTTGTGGTTTCCAAAAGTCCTTTTCAACAATACATTCGTGGGGAGCCGTGCCTCCAAGACATCACTGCTCCAAGCCTGAGCCCCTAAACCAGCTCTCAGCTTCCCCAGGCAGTGGATTTACACAGGCACTTCCAGGCTTTGGTGACCCCTTAGTGCAGGTACCAGTGTGGACGCAGGCACATTAACAAAGCACATATCAAGTGCTGCAGCCCAGGAAATACAATCTTTGCCATTCCCAGTAAAAATCCCAGGCTTTTTGAACTGCCAGCTCGGGATATCAGGACTGGGCTGACTATAGCAATGTAGTGGCATTAAAAAGCTTAACCCAGACTATGGAATGCTGTCCTTTTCCTCCCAAACCATAACATTTCCCAATATACCCAGGGAAAATGTTCTGTACCTGCTTTGATCATTGAAATAGACCCTAGGGAAAATCCTTCCCCAGCTGTGCTGGGAGCAGAGAGCAGGATGGGGCACGGAGACAGGCATCAGGCACCAGTACTGTTCCAGCCCCACTGTGTGCTGCTGACTCCAGCACTCAGGGGATGGGGGAGGAACAGAGGAGCTGGGAGGATGTGTAGTACTTCGCAATGGGGAGGGAAAACCGTGGTTGTGTGGCTGTTCAGCAGCACAGATCTGCACGCTGCCCCCAAACCTCAGGTCCATTCCCAAGCGCAGCCCAAGAGCCACACACTGAGGCAGAGTATGGAGCCACTAGGAAGATGAGGTGCTCGTGGTTGAATATGGGAACATTCAGTGTAGTTTGGCCTGTGCCATAAACTGTTTGCTTAGGAACAGGCTGGCTCAAATCATCACAGCATCAGTGGCAGCTTTGTAACAGGCGCCTATCGAAGCCCCTTCCAAGAGCAAGGCCAGAGAAGAGGGAGAGGTCGCACCTCCAGGTGGGAACAAGGTGGAAAGCAGCCTCAGCTGCTTCATCCCTGGGATGCTCCATGCTCGATGGGGCAGGCAGAAGGCGCTGGAGGACCCTGGGAAGGGGTCAGGTACTCACATGTACCGCAGCTCTGACTCCCTCCTCACCAGGATCTCCCTGATCCGCTCGATTTTGAAGAGCTCCCCTTCAATGTCATCGATGGTGGTGGTTGAGTCAGCCATGGAGACAATCTCATCCTCTGCAAACGGAACAGGAGTCACGTTACACAGCAGGAGACCTCAGATGGGTGCTGAGGACAGAGAGGGACCACATGGCTAGCACGGAACCCCCTGCAAGCCCCAGGCCAGCAAAACCCCTGAGCATGTGCGCTAAGCAGGCTTCTTGATACCCTGTGGGTGCTGCAAGAGGAAACAGCCCAACAAGCACATGGAAGGTCACCAGTGTAAGCAAAGGCACTGAGCTGCTGGGACTGGGCTTGGTTTGATTGCGCTCTGTGTGAGCTGGGCACTGTGAGTTAGGTCACAGCCAGCTCGTCCCACTGAGCACAGCTCCATACACACATGCAATGTGCATGAAGTGCCTGCAGGAAAGAGGACCCCAGAGGCCAGCAGCTCTCTGAGCCTTAGAAACAAGCAGCATTTCACCTGCTGGTGCTGCTTTGCAGCACACCCTGCTCACACCAGTGCTGGGCAGGAGGACAAGGGGCTAAAAGCTGTGGGAGGGAAGGGCAGGAGCACCTCTTTCAAGCCTCAGGCATTTCCAGCAAAGAGCCATGAGCCTCTGTGTGCACCCTCCTCCAGAACGTGCCAGGAACAAATGCTGTGTCCATACAGCACAAGCTGAGGAGTCACGGAGGTGCTCCTACGGCTGCGTCCCTTCTATCACAGGATGGAAGAAGTCCCCCACCCATCCTTCCCAGCTCACAGGGGAAAAAAGCCCTTAAGGTATCCAGCAGGCCAGTTTGGCTTCATCATCCTCTGGAGCACTGAGCATCACCTCTACAACCCCTTGGGGAAACGGGCTGGGAAAGGGGTGTCACTTGTTCAGGGCAAGAGACTCATGGCAAAATGTGGGTAAAAGGAGCTGTGATTTCCGTTTAAGAGGAGCAGAGCGGCAAGCTCAGGGTCAGGATGAGAGCCCAGCATCCTCTGTCTATTGTTCTGCCTCCCCCATCTCCACTGATTCATACACAGATGTCCCTCTGATGTCCCCCTGCTTTGCACAAGATGCTCACACTGATCTGCACAGGGATCCGTGCTGATTCCCACAGTGCCGGCACATCCCACAGGAGCTCCGGACCCCTTCCACTGGCATAGGGGAGGTTTGACTCAGGCCAGCTCCCACCTCCCAGCCTGCTCTGGCTCTGGGAGACATCACTGAGCTTGTTATCACTGACAAGCAGCAGCACGTTTACCACAGGCAGGTTAATCTGGTTCTGCCCTCATACACACACAGCACAGGCTGGGGAGAGGGGGCTCGGCAGCTACAGCAAAGCCAGATCACAAACACCAGGGGCAAATTCTGCTTCCTTTGGATCTTCACAGGGTGCAGCTCCCCTGCACAAGGAGAGCTAAAAGCACAGAGGGAGCACTGACTGCAGGAGCAGGATTTTCCAGGCAGCTGAGATCTGGGAAATGGAGATGTCAGAGCTGGAGCGTGTGGTTATGGGGATCCCAAACGGGACCCAGGCCAGTGCTGAGGGTTACAGGGCAGCACTAAGGCACAAGGCAAAACACTGTGTATCCACTAGTCCTCTACCCATTATGTGAAACTGCTTGAGAAATCCTTCCCAGCGTGAGGTATGTTTCCAAGGCTGGCAGCAGAGAGGGTTTATAGTGGAAATATGAGTGGTTTGGGTTACTGTCACTGGTTTGGAGAACAGTTGTCTGCTGTTTCTGGCTTAGAAACTCATGACTACTTGGAGATTCCCTCCCTCTCCTCTGAGCCATGAAGGCTCCATTCAGCTCATGCCAGCATGCTGAATCCTCGATCACTCCCCATTCTGAGCTGTCGAGATGCTCTCAGGAGCCAGCACAGGACAGCCTGATAGACACACAGGTTGGACAAAGTCCAGGGCAGGATGCGCTGCCCTCCCTCAGCTCCTGCTCACTGGCTCTGCTGCAGATCTGCATAGAAACCCTCCCTTAGCCTCGTCTCTACAGGCCTGAAGGGGGTTGCTAAGGGGACTGGACTGTGGTTGCTACAGGACCAGGCTGTGGTTGCTAGGGGACCAGAGTGCAGTTGCTAGGGGACAGGGATGCCGAGGTCCCTCATCCAAAGCATCCTGTTGCTCTGCCACCCCAGAGCTCCTCTTGCCCAGGGCATCATTTCTGGGCACATCATTACCCAGGATCACTCTGTGACTGATTTTGCTGCACCCAATCTCAGTGCCTCGGAGCAGGTTATCCCTGCGGGTGGTGGCCAGCACAGGTGACACCACACGTGAAGGTGTACATGGTACAGCCGGCGTGTGCCTGTAGGCAGCCACTCCCTGAGGTCAGGCTGTACTTCAGTGCAGCTCCAGACCTGTTGGGAAAATGCTGCCTTGTTCCAAGTGATGCTGCTGTGAGCAGGGTAAACCGACAGGGCTGATGATGTGAGAGATGCGCCAACAACTATGAGCTTGCTGCAGCCTTCATTAGCCAAGGACAGATCTAACCCCCCAGGAGCACAGGGGTGGCTCTGGGGGAGGAGGACTGTCACTCCCGGCCTGGGTGGGAGGATGAATAACCCAGAACATCTTTGATCACTGGTGGCAGACAATTTGGCTGGGGTTCTCAGCCAGCTGCTTCCCGCTGGGTGAGTGCAGGGGTTTGTGACAAGTGGGGCATCGCTTCTCCCTGATCATCCTCATTAGCAGAAGCCATACCAGGTGGGAGAGGTGATTCCTCACCTGTGCATGCAAAGGGCGGAGGTGGTGGTGCTTGGGCAGGAGGCTGGGGTAGGGGGACACAGAGGACTCTGCATCAAAGCCATCCACTGATCCTCAAGAGAAATCAATGAATCCATATAGGTGATGAACAGGCATCTGCCCAGGACCACAGGTCATCCTGCCAAGACCTGAACATCTGAGGCCAGGGACTGAAGCATGGGATGGACAAGGAGCGACTGAGAGAAGAGGCTGAAGGGTTGTTCAGACACTGGAACAGTGAACAGAGTTGGGGGATCTCCACCTTTGATCCAGGATCCCTCCTGGAGAAGGCTGTGAGCAGCCTGATCTATTGAGCCTGCTTTGAGCAAGGGATTGAACACAATAACCCCAGAGATCGCTCCAAATTTCTCAGTGATTCCACATAGTGATCAGTGAGTGACAGCTGGTTGGGATCACAGAATCCCTGATGGGTTTGGGTTGAAGAGATGTTAAAGCTCCTCCAGCTCCACCCCCTGCCACGGGCAGGGACACCTTCCACTAGAGCAGCTTGCTCCAAGCCCCTGTGTCCAACCTGCCCTTGAACACTGCCAGGGATGGGGCAGCCACAGCTTCTCTGGGCACCCTGTGCCAGCGCCTCAGCACCCTCACAGGGAAGAGCTTCTGCCTAAGAGCTCAGCTCAGTCTCCCCTCTGGCAGGTTAAAGCCATTGCCCCTTGGCCTCCCCTGCTAGCTCAAGAGATGCTTTCTCCAGGCAGATAGAGATGATGCTGAGTTCCTGAACCCCAGCAGCCACAGGCATGGGCCAGGGGACAGCTCTCCTGAGGCAGTGGTGAGACCAGAGGGCACTGTGTGTCCATGGACCTGCACGGTGCCAGCGACACCATCCAGCAACCAGGAACAGCAAGTTCGGACACTCGGAGTACAGCGCATCCTGCAGCAGAGAGCTGGGCAAGAGATCTCAATGGAGATGGTTCTGCCAAAGCTGCACATGGGTTTCTTACACCCTGAGTGCCTGGCACCAGCAAGGGATTAAGGCAGGTTTATTAGAGCTGGGATCAAGCTCACAGTCCTGAGTCTCCCTTTGGGGATGGAGGGATGATGCCCATGTGCAGCCGCGCTGGCCAGGGCTCCCTTTGCTCCCACAGCTGCACACACAACAGCACAGCCAGGCACAGAAGCCATCCCCATGCTGCCTAAAGCACCCCGGACTGGCACCATCTCAACCTGGCGATGCAGGGAAGGGGAGAAAGCTTCAACTGAAACTTGGAGATGCTCATCATCACACATGGCCCACGGGGAGCAAGTACCGTTAATGAGGAGTATAATAGCCGGAGTCTTCCACTCCATATGGCTTTGGTGAAAATATTTAGACAGCAGCAGCAAGCCTGGGATGAGTCACAGCAGCACCAGCGCGGGGCTGTTTCAAGCAATTTGCTTCGTGATTAAAGTTGGCGATTGAGTGACATTGTGCTGAGGAGGGGTCGAAGCTCTTCCCTTGAGCTCCATCCCGGGTGCCTTTAACCCAGCCGTGCGCTGTCTGTGCTTCAGGAAGCAGGTGGCCAGGGGGCACCCAGCCTGTCAGAACCAGCCCCTGCTCCACAAGCTTGATGGTGACGCACCCCCCGGCACTGGGGCTGCCCTGTCAAAGGGGGCTGTGTCCCCATCACCCTCCCTGCTCCGCACGGGAGACACCAGCCTCCAGGACCACCAATGCCTGGCCAAGCACAGCGGTCCCAGGTTCCTGCTCCGCTTGGAGGGATCCCAGCTGCAAACCACAGGAGTTTCCAGTGCCCCAGGGACAAGTGTGCATCCTTCTCCCCCTGCAGGCAGGGGCATCCCTCTGGCTGTGTCTGTGCAGCCCCCGGCACAGCCGGCACTGCCGGGGCCCTGTGAGACAGCCATAACAACAGCCAGAGTGCAAGGTGGGGTGCCTGGGGGCCTTACAGGGGTGTCACCAGGGCTTAGCCCCCCGGTGTGCACACTGCCCTGTGTCACGTCCTGAGCACAAGAGGCTGCTCGGGGCTTCACAGGGTTGGCCTGAGGTTTCCTGGGGTGGTAGCAAGGAGCAGAGCATCATTCAGAGACCAGGCACTGGCTGTTGCCATGTTCCTGCCTGTCTCCCAGCACAAAGGTCCCCCAGCAGCTGGGGTTTACAGAACTGCACTGAAGCAGCAAAAAGCCACCACAACCCTGCTCACAGGCCCCTGAGGGGGGATGCTCAGGCCATACCCAGCACCCTGAGTCCAGCAAGTGTTGGACCCTTGCTGGAGCACCCTGATGTCACCCAGCTGCTGGGAGCAGAGGACCCAGGTGTGGAAGCGCTCAGACCCTGCAAGGGCAAAGTCTCCACAGGGACAGTTCCCAGGCAGGGGAGGTGAACAGAGAGCCATTGCCATGCTAAAAGGCACAATGGAGAAGGACTGAAACTTCAGGCATCTCATCAAGGAGCTGAGCAGCTTTACCCCTCCACAGCCGTACTAAGCAGGATGCTTGGAGTTTGCTCCATCGCTCCTTCCCTGCCTTTCCAACTGCCTGTCCCTATCCCGTTGGATGCAGGGGGATAAGGGACCAGGAAGAGAAGACCCCGGAGGGATGTCATGGCAGAAGGACTGCAGGAGCCTCCCCTCCTCAGGATGCTGCCCACAGCCCAGCTTGGGCACCTCTTTGCTCCCACCCCAAGATCGGGGACTGCCCAGGACAATCCCCCTCGTCCGTGTCTCCCCTGTGTCCACCCCGTTCCGCACCGGAGGAACCGGTTAGAGACGGAAAAAGGCGGCTAAGGGCGGTGGGACCCCGTTCTCGGTCACACCCGGCAGCACCAGCCGCGACCGGGCTGCATCCCTCCTTCCAGCGCTCCGCTCCCTCCAGCCACCCCCCTGCCCTCCGTCCTTCTCCCTCCTCGCGCTCAGTCCCTTCCCTCCGTCCTCTCTCCCTTCCCTCCGTCCCCTACTCCCGCCGCACCCCTCCCGCTGCCGGAGCTCCGGCAGCACCGGTACCGGTACCGGTACCGCCCCGGGGAGCGGTCCCCGCCGGTCCGCTCGGGGGTGCCCGGGTTGTCCGGGGCCGGTTTGGTTCCGGCTGTTCCCCCCCCCCCCCCTCACCTGGCTGCCACCGGGTGGGCTCCAGCGACCCGTACCGGGGCGGGCTCCGGCTCCGGCTCCGCTCCATGCCGCAGCCCTGCCCGCGCCGCCGCGCCGCGCCCTCTGCCGGCCGCGCCCCCCGCGACACCCCCGGCTCCCCCCCCCCGGGGCTCGGCCCGGCCGCTCCGCACCGCGCGGTCCCGGCACCCGCCGCCGGAGCACGGGGCGGGCGGGGAACGCGCCCGGGTCGCTCCGGTCCCGCCCGGGACCTGCCGAGCCCGGTGGGACACGGCACCGAGCTGCTCCTTCCCGGCACGAGTCCCTGTTCCCTACGGACAGACCCAACAGCAGGTGTTCAAAACGCACCTGAGGGTTCGCGTTGGTCGGAAATCCGGACGTTGGTTGGCGGGGTGTTGGCAGCACGCACAACAGCAGGGATCTCCGGCTGGGATCTCCTGCAGCAACTGGTCCCACCATCCTGAAGGCCTGTCCCAGCACAACGGCATGGGGAAGCAGGATGGAGTTGGTTGGGAACCCTCCTGCTCACAGGGTTGCACACTTCTCACGCTGGTGACGGTTGTTTCCGCACTACTTTTCCCAAAGCACACAGAGGGGACACACATCCTCTGCCAGGACACTAATGCTGGGCTGCACCCCCAGAGCGTGAGCAGCAGCTCAGGGAGGGGATCCTGCCCCTCTGCTGTGCTCTGGGGACACCCCCCTGCAGCCCTGATCCAGCTCTGGGGCAGCAGCACAAGAGGGACGTGGAGCTGTTGGAGCGAGGCCAGAGGAGGCCATGGAGATGCTGCGAGGGCTGGAGCAGCTCTGCTCTGGAGCCAGGCTGAGAGAGCTGGGCTGGGGCAGCCTGGAGAAGAGAAGGCTCCTGAAGGGGAGACCTGAGAGCAGCTCCAGTGCCTGAAGGGGCTGCAGGAAACCTGGAGAGGGGCTTGGGACAAGGGCCTCAGGAGAGCTGTCACCTGGCCCATGCCTGTGGCTGCTGGGGTTCAGGAACTCAGCATCATCTCTATCTGCCTGGAGAATGCATCTCTTGAGCTAGCAGGGGACATCAAGGGGAACGGCTTTAACCTGCCAGAGGGGAGACTGAGATGAGCTCTTAGGCAGAAGCTCTTCCCTGTGAGGGTGCTGAGGCGCTGGCACAGGGTGCCCAGAGAAGCTGTGGCTGCCCCATCCCTGGCAGTGTTCAAGGCCAGGTTGGACACAGGGGCTTGGAGCAAGCTGCTCTAGTGGAAGGTGTCCCTGCCCGTGGCAGGGGGTGGAGCTGGAGGAGCTTTAAGGTCCCTCCAACCCAACCCAGTCTGGGATTCTATGGTATGATTGTATGACACGTTTCTCTGCAGGTCGTGCCCAAGATCTCCATGCTGGCTGCATGCAAGGGCACAGGTCCAAGGCAAGGGCAGGGCTGGCTCAGGGACCCTCCAGCACATCTTGGGAAGTGCCACTGTTGTGGTTTAACTGCAACCAGCAGCCCAGGCACAAGCAGCTGCTCACACACTGCTGGGATGGGATGGGGGAGAGAACTGGGAGGGTAAAAGAGTAGATTCGTGGGCTGAGATAAAGGCAGTTCAGTGAGTAAAGCAAAAACCACATCGGAGCAACACAAGGAATTCATTCACCACTTCCCATGGCAGGCAGGTGTTCAGCCATGTCTAGGAGAGCAGGGCTCCATCACACGTTGTTACTTACAAACACAAATGCCATCCCTCCCAGTGATCCCTCTCTTCTTACCCCAGTGTTACATGCTGAGTATGACATCATTTAGTATGGAATATGTGTGGGATCAGTTGGGGTCAGCTGATCCAGCCTTGTTCCCCCAATTCCTCATGCTCCCCCAGCTTCCTCACTGGTGGGGTAGGGTGGGAAGCAGGAAAGGCCTTGATGCTCTGCAACCACTGCTCAGCAGTAACAAAACCACTCGTTATCAGTATTACCCTGAAGTCAAAGCACAGCACAGCACTACAGCAGCTACTGAGAACAAAGCTAACTCCATTCCAGCTGAAACCAGGGTGGCCACAGGAAGCCTCTGGGCTGGAGAGCAGCAGGAGTGATGGCTGTGGAGGTGAGGGCCAGGCCAGGGGGTTTCTCCCCTCTCATCTGGCTGGCAGTGACTGCTGGAAGTTGATTATAGGTGCAAAACCATAAGCTCTCAGTGAGCAAAACAGAGGGGTGGCATTGTAAGGGATGGGTCTGGAGGATCAACCCCTGCAGAGAGACACCAGAGTGTGGGATCTGCTTTCTGTACCCCTCTCAGCATTGCCTCTAGCTGCTCCCCTCCCCAGTGCAACAGGCAGCCAAGCTAATCTGTGTGAAACATCCTCACTGGAACTGACAGAAATCTGAGCAATTTCTTGGACTTCCCATCTCCAAAACCTAGGGAGGAGCTGGTGACTTTTGATCCAGCCCAGTGTTTTAAACCAGAACACGAGCAAGGGGGATGGTGCCCCAGTTAGAGAGGCAAAGCTCTACTGAGGGACACAGCCACCTCAAGATCTAGTGGTCTGGCTGTCTTAATAGGAAAGGTAAGAACAGCCATTAAATACTGTTCATTAAATGATGAGCATCCACCAGCACTGTGATCATGAGCTCAGGTCTGAAGTGACTCACCTTGTTCTGATCGCTCCCCATGCAGAGAAAACGGATGTGCAAATATTTTGATCACTTCTTCAGTCCAGTACTGGACAGGATTCCTTGTGCCATGAGCAGCCAGATCTGCTGTGGGCTGCAGCGTGAATTCACCCCATTCTGTGCACTGACTTAATAAAAACATGGGATTCAAACAGCCCAGAGTCACACAAAGAGCTATAATCTAACATGCTGCCTGGCAGGCGAACCCCACAGCTCTTCCTTCCCCCACGTGCACTCTACATCCTCAGCTGAGAGGCTTTAGTGTGTCCTGAGGTGACTTTCCCGTGGGTCTGTGTGTGAATTGAGTCACCAGCAGCAGCGCTTTCAGGGCATGAGCAGAATGTTTCTTAAAAGCACAAATATCTCCCCGTACACAGTCACTTCTCTAGGAATGAAGCAGCTTCATGTACATGGTAAGCTCATAACTGTGCCAAGCAAGAGTAACACAATCTCCCAGGTACCTGAGGGCTGCCAACAGATTTAAAACACAACTTGGAAACCATGAGAATGGACAAAGTCATTTGAAAGTCTTTAAAGAAACAACCTGAGCAGGCAACAGCAGACAATAGGAACCACTAAGGCACATTGAACTGATTCCAAGCCTTCAAAAACATATCCCAGGTGATGCTCACAGGGCCCTTCTTTGCCAACTCAATCAGGTGCATCTTGAGGACAGAAGGAAGCCGTATATTTAATTCGTCACTGTTGAGAAAGGAGTGAGGTCTCAAGGACCCGAATGCATGTACATGTCATAACTGGAGTCATTTAGTATTTTCCTTAGGAGTCATCAAAACATCAGGTTCATGTTTCTCAAAGCCACACTTTGAATATTCATGTTATTTTCAGCACGTGGCTGTGTTTTCTGGCTCAAAATTCCTTTTCCTAACAATAAACCCCTGTGTTAACACAAGCATGCTATTTTGGGTTGTAACTACCCCCCTAGTTCTGACCTTTCAACCTAATCAGAGGCGGAAATGTTCTCAAGGTTTCAAAACTGTCTGCTGTACCAGCGAGCTCAAGCCAAGGTAACTAGAGGCTCTGCTCCTGGATTTCTTCAGGCAAGATTTCTATTAGAGGTGAAGCAAAGGTTAATTCTAAAGTTGCTTCATCCTCACCTCTACATTTGGGTTCACAGTTTTATGGTCTCAACATACCCAACTTGAAGTGAGAAATTGCCCTTGGACAGAAATATCATTTATATAAGAGTAAAATCAGGCCCCAGGGAGAAACCATGCAGAAAACCCCCCAAGTATCAGTTCCCTGAGAAATGCACAGTCTAAATGAGCAGATTCCTTTACACTGGCTCCCTATTGATAAATACAGCAATAGGTAATGCCAAGCCGAGAGTGTCAAGATATTTCAAGACAGATTCTTCCCCCCCGCCCCCTTCCTGCATTAGTACCACTCAGGGCTGATGCCAGCAACACTCGAGCTGCCCAATACTTTCAAGGACTCTATACAGGACCCATATTATAGACATGGAATTTTGGTATCATGCTGTAACCATAATTCTCCTCAGAGTTCAAATCAGCATGGGAATGTCTTGTCTGGACCTCAAAGATGAACAAAAGGAGAAATGCTTCCACGAGCAGCACCAAGGAGCACAGAGCGTGCTTTAGAGATGTCACACCCCATCCTGGAATAAAAGACAATTCAGAAGCTCTTGCTTTTAAGATTCAGAACATGCAGAATAACCCCACAGCTCTCTAAAACATCACTCTCCCCATCTCGTGAAACTACAGCTAAATGGACCTACTTTCAATGGTTCATATCTACGATGCTGGGAAATAACTCACTGCAAAACTACAAAAGCTCTGTGTGAATTCATCTGGGCAGGTTTCACTGCAGTCCACAAAGGCGCAGGCTGCGGTTGTTTGCTGGATTGTAGAAATCTTCAGAGAATACTGGAAAGGATCTTACTATGCTGATCAGATCCACAGGAAAAACGAACATTTAGAGATCATTGCCCACCGAGTTTTACCTGATTTCATATGCTGAGTGCCACACTTGTGAAGTCAATCGCAGATGTGAGGTGCACACAGAGAGGAGCTGAAGGAAGCATCTGCAATACCCCATCATAAAATAACTGCCAGAAAGACACATTCTGCTATTTGAGTTTCCTTCTAACTTAGGAATGGAATTTTAGACAGCAGGAGAAGGTGTCTGATCCAATGGGTTACTCGGGTTCCAGTCCAGCTGCATCAGCGGTGCACTAAAACTACCTGCAGTGTTTCATGATAAGCAAAGAGCCCTTTGTCAGTTTTTGGCCTTATCTAACAAAACTGATTTACCCAGATCCTTTGAAACCTCTCACAAAGTACACACACATCGGGCTATGCTGCATTTCAAACCTCAGAGCTACAAAGACCAGCATTGTGCTGAACTTGTTCCTCAGCACTAACTATGGGTTGCCTCCTGAGCTCAATCAAATAGAACTGTATTCAGAGAAGAAGGACAGCTCAACTTAGACCCTGGACTGACACAA